AAGCCAGAGACGTAGGTCTGTGCTTGATCAGAGTTCCGAAGGAGTCCGACTGTTGTTCGTCCGAGACACTAGGACATTCCACGAAATGCCCTGCTGTTCTACTCCTCCCTGCACTTTCCCCCTCCTTTCCTTTTTCCTTTACGCCTCTCCCGATTTCCACTCGCTGTTACGTCCTAAGATCCGTAAGGAATACTTACTCTATTTCACTAGTGTAGTGATGGAATCGATCCGATAATACCATTAGATATTACAAACTTTTTTGAAAAATATTTGTTTAATAATTTAACATTTTATTGCATTTTATTATCTTTTTCGGATTTGATAGTATTTTAGATTCATTTTTTAGATCATTTAAATATGATATAATTGTAGAAGAATTTTGTTAATATTGATAATTTTATTTCTATATTAAATAAAATTGATTAAAACATATATGTATATGTCAGAAGATTCGCAGAATCTGGTATAAAATGTATTTGAATTAATATATTGTAAATGTTAAATCATTAAAATGTTAAATATTGCGTGACTAAAAAAAGTAAAAATAAAAAAGAATTCAAAAATGATAAATAAATATTCATATGCTATAAACATTAAACGATAATATCATTATTGTTTAATTCTAGAAGAATAAGTGTTCAAAAAATTCGATTGCAAATTGATTCCATCGCTACATAAAGCGTGCACGATCTGTGCATCATATGGTAGTTACTTTTATATCTGTGGATCTTTTACATATGCATACAAATTCTATGCAACTGAACGAAGTTTTCTTCATATTCTACTACTACAAATGTATACTGCTTATTGTTTCTTTTACAGGGTCGTACACTCTTCATTGTTTACATCAAAAATTGTAAAAATTGTCCTTTCATTTTTCATGAAAACAGATATAATTTTTTCTATTAGCTATTTACAAAATTAATTAGTATTTTAAATATATGTATTATATTATACATAAAAATATTTCCTATCAATTTATATATAAAACAGTTTTTATCAATTAAAAATCAATTAAAAATAATTTATATAATTATTATTTATTTAATAATTTTTTTTTATTTTGTTAAATTTTTCGCTTATCAAATATCTGTTTAAATTAGCAATAAATATTTATCGAGTTTATATTTTTGAAACTTGCAACTTTTTATATAATTAAGATAATATTCATATTATTTTAATTTAGTATATTAAATTCCAAATATTTCATTAAAAACATATATAAATAATTTTACATTATATAAAATAATATATAAATGTAACACAATTTCTGATAAGAAAATTGATTTCAAAAGAATGATTTTATTGTTATATAATATATGTTATATATGTTATATAATTTTGATTTTATTATGTTAATAAAATAAAAAAAATAAATAAAAGAAAATAATAACTCTAGCAATCTATTTGTTAAAATAAATTCTACCAAAAATCTATATATTATAGGTGGAAAAGATTTTAAAAAGTACATATATAAAATTCCAAAAAAATTATAAAAACAAATGAATAATTAAAATATAATTTGTATATTTGTATATATAATTTCTATATACTCATAAAGTTTGAATGCATATATAGTCAAAGAACAATATATTTCAATAGCAACTATTTACAATATTAATAATTTAAAAATTAATGAATAATACACTATGGAATAAGAAAATATATCGAATAAAATAAAATTGTAAATTGTAAAATTGTAAATTTTTTTCATGTTCATTCTTATATTTATTAAATTTTTCAATACAACATATTAGATACATATTTTTGTGATAATATAATTAGAAACTTCATAATATAATTAGCAATTAAGATACTATCATTATTAGCACTTTTACAAATTTACTAATTTATTAACAATTAAACAAAAAATACTATAATTAATATATCACATAATCATAGATAAATTTAAAGTTATATATGTTTATTATATATATATATACAAAATATTAAAAAAAATGGCTTATAATACGAAAAACAAAAAATAAAAATATTCAATCAACATAGGTTCTACAGTTTATTCTTTTATTTTTTTTTTTATTTTTATTTTTTAACATATAATTATTATTGGTGAACATTCAATGTCATGAATGATTTTATTTACAATATAATAAATAAGCAGAGTAAATAAGTAAACAGAGCGATAGTTTTTAAAGCTCCAATCTAAATTCGAAATTGTTAATTATTAATTAATATTACTAATGTTAATTAATATTAATAAGAGTCATTTCACGCAAACAAAAAGGAAATTATTCATTAAAACATACCATAAAATTTCAAAATTAAAATACTAAAACGTTTAAATTTTACATATTATTATATATTATTATCCAATATTTATATTAGTAATATTTAACACTATTACTAATATTTAATATTTAATTGTTTATTCAAATTATTTAAACTTCATATATCTTTATAACATTACTGTATATAATTATAATTTTCAATTAGCATTATTTATCACTCACATATTATTAACTTCAATTTATTTCATTATTAAATTATCATCATAAATAAAAGACAGCAACATTAGAAAGTCTTATCATTTATCTTTTTTATTTCCTGCTCACTTTCATGATTAGTATTTTCTTCCGATCATTCTTTCCGAGAAACGGATGCTTTGTAGAGGTCAACTCCCTGAAGGCCGTCCTTCCGGGACTGGCAGACGCGTGAGAAGAAGGTTGTATGTATTTGTTAGATAGCAGCTATTCCCTATACAAGTCTTTAACAGGGACGATGAAACATAGTTGAAGCAACACCTTAGAAGACTGCGTCTGTCCTTGGCTTTACCGATCCGGAATAGATAAGGTAGATTATCACAAAGATTTCCTATTTGTCTGTTATTCTTTTTTCTTATATTAGTATTTATAGTAGCACATATTGAACACGATGTCAGAGAATTTTTTCATTTCTTTCTCATATTTTTTGTATTATTAATGAAAATATAGAATTAAAATAAAAATAGAACAGGATATTTAATAAATTTATCAAAATATTACTTTTCCACGAATTTCAATTAAAATTTTTTATGACATATGAATGAAAAAATAAACAAATTTGTTATCAAATTGCAATGATCTTAAAAAAATTTATAAAGAAAATTGATATGACGTAATCCGTTCATTTAACATAATCCAGATAATGTAATGAAAAACAAAATTATGCTTAGCACAAATTATTTCTTTTATTTTTCTTTCACAGTTACTGAAAAGCAAACTTTTTGATTTAATTTTTATATTGAATTTTGAATTATTTTATATATTTTTTATATTATATTATATATATTATAGCAAAGTCGTTAAAAAAAATTCTATTTAAATTCACAAAAGCGTAAACTATTTAATAAGTTTTTTTTTATTTTTCTTTCTAAAGTCATTTGTCATTTTTTTTATATTTTTTTTATTATATATATGTATATAACAAAATGTTTAAAAAAGTCTATTCTTATGTTGGAAATATTATATATTATATATATATTATATATATAATATATAATATAATATATAATATATATATTATATATATATAAATATTATATATATAAATATTCTTTATGTTGGAAATAATATTTCAATAAATTCACCGTATATATAATATATATTTTAACATAACAAAAGACATGTATAATAAAAATTGTATTCATTTTTCAATAGAAATTTATAAAAATATAATTTTTTATGATTAAAAATATTATAAAATTTATTTATTTATTATTATAATTTATAAAAATATTATAAATTACAATATTTTCATATTAAAATTAGTAATTGATAAAAGATTAATAGAATAATATAGAATAGATTGAGGAGATATAAGAATAACTTTTGAAATTTAAAAATTTAAATGATTAATAATATTATTTTAATATTAAAAAAATTTGATTGTTTAAATGATTGATTATCTATACATATGATGAACATTTAATTATAAATACATATTTGCATTCTGGAATAATATTTAATAACGATTAATTTATTTTTCATAATTTCTCTTACTAAATATATATTTCTTTATATAATAAGCATTCATATTTAAAAATTGTTAAAAATTTCTAATTATCTTATAACAATTCACAAATTTGATTTTTTCTAATTGATTATTCAAAAAAATATTTGTTTAATCAAATTTTGTCTTCGAATTAATCCGAATAATTAACGCATATAATAATTTAATATTAAAACGTATATAATAATTAATACAAAAATAAATTAATCACAAATCTCATTTATAATTTACGTAATGATTCTAAAAAATCTATATGACATGTAAAAATGTGTAACAAATTGAGATATTTTCTCGATTTTTTATTTAGTGTACAAATCTATAATTAAAAGTCTCATTAACATTTTCGAATATGAAGTATAGATCAAAGAGATTGTACAGATTGCGTTCCTAAAGATTTTAATTTTCGTATCCGTAACTTTGCTTCTCCGAAAACTTTCTGATATCGGTCAGTGTTAATGTCTGTCCACGTATTTTTTCCACGTTTTATTATACAATACAAAAATATGAAATTTCAGATATTATGAAATATATTGCACAAAAACACATAATTTATGTAAATTAAAAAAAATCGCTTATGATTTGATATTTAACTCTATAATTAAAACAAATTATGAATTATATAAAATTAAAGTACATAAATGCTTAATATTATAACTCAAGAAAATAAATTTAAATTGATTTTTATTTTGAATAATTAATATTTAAATAATTAATATTTTATTCACGTTATTAAAATTTTTATCAACGAATCTTTGAATAAATCTTTGAATAAAACAAAATACAAATATTGTCGAAATTTGAGGAGAATATTATTTATGAAAATATTATTGTATTTTTTAATAAACTACAATTTCTTTATATAATATTTAAATAACTTATATGTAATTAATTATAAAGTATATTTTTCTCAGTATAATTATCATAATATTTATATATGTATATATTTACAATATATTTACAATATTATTATATATTTTGAAATGAACAAAAGACAAACATATAATAAAAATTTAATCAATTATTTAAAATACACATTAAAATATAAATTATATCTGAAATATTAAAAATTGTAAGTAATTGACTATATTTTTAAATTGATATTTCCCTCAATGTAATTGCATATTATTAAGCAGCTATAAATCTGAAAAATCGACTGAAAAATTCGAACGTGGAGTATTAACCTATCGCAGAGAACCCGTTATAACTCACGAATAGTGTACATATATACATATACATATACGAGAGCGTTTCGAAAGAGTGAATGCGTGTGGATAGGGCTTTATGCTCGTTGAACGTCGAATCCGTTCCCTGTCGTCCCACCAGGATCCCCCACTCTGATGGTTCGAGTCCATCCCTTCAGTGGCTCGGCAGTGCGCGTTCGATACACGGAATCGCCTCGTGGTTCTCGGAAGGCAGTAGACTGTCGTCAGCCACGCCAGACGGCGCACTGCTCGCACGCTCATTGCTCTCTCGTCAGAGATACTCGCCTACTGGTTCACCCACGGCTGCTGTTACCTCGCTCTCGCGACCTCTCTCTCTCTCTTTCTCTCTCTCTCTCTTTGCTGCTGGCAGCAGCACATTCGACTTAGCGGGCCGCCAGTTACGCAATAATAACAACGCCGTCAGGAGGTATAGCATGCGCGTACTGTGCCACCTATACGCCGACGAACGACCCTGGAACGATGAGCTGCCGGTCCGTCGTCGTCGCCGCCGCTTCTGCTATTACTGCTGCTGCAATCACTTGTTGAAATAGGAGAGCGCGCATCCGTATTGCAAAGCAGTAGTACTAGTACATGAGCATCTTCGTTGGGTGGGAAGAGATTGTGGTGATAGTAGTAGTGGTGGTGGTAGTGGTGGTGGTGTCGACCAACAGCGTGGAAAGTGCGTATAGTGTTGTTGAACAGGAATTATCTTACAGGAAGAGTGATGAGTAGTAACGTAGTAGACACGACCGAAAGCGGATTGATTCTGTGCCGAGTGAGTGGCGCGGATCAAATGCTCGATACGCGACACGCGCTTCGAGATCCTACCTTACGGTGGATCGAATCAATTCCTTGCCGTTTGAATCAAGGATGAATAAACGAGAAATCGCAATGCTTATAGTGTATCACAATTATTCGCTCAAAGCATCGTTGTCTTTGTTATCTGTCGAGCGAAGATTTGAAACGCAGAAATTGACTTTTATAAGTCTCTACCATAGAAAATTCATATGAAAAAAAAATTCCGTGATGGATACTTGTTGAATCATTGACTGAAATCGTATCGTTATATTATTCTTAGGACCTATGTGACAAAAGGAAGAGGAATGACATAAGAAAGATATATCGTTGGAGAAAAACACGAGGTGCACGTTTGAGTGAAGTACACAAAGCGGTAAGTACACGAAATATGTCGCGATTAGGCGCCAATGACGTCAGACAAGAGTCGTGGAGCCGTGTAAGTCGTAAGAGGAATTCGTTTGTGGAGTTCGCGGTGCGTTTACCGACACATTCACGTCGATGTATTCGTTATATTACTGCTGGCGATAGTAATCGTAGTAGTAACAACAGTATCTGTCAAAATAGTATTGGTGCTGGTAAGAGTTGTGTAGTTTCGGTATCAGTGTTGCCGAACAGAAGAGTGGTGGGGCTAAAGGAGAACCCGTGTGGAATTGCTGCGTGGTCCGTCGTGGTAGCCAATTATATTTTCTACGTGTGTGCTACGCGGGCAATGACTAACTGCTCGCCGTTAAGTGTGTTAGTAGGAGATATCGTCGACGGACTCGTTTCTGCGTTGGTGTTACCGTCTACGTCAGCACCGGTCGGACGGGATTTGCATAGCAAACAGATTGACGCGCTAGTAAGTGGATAACGAGAGAGGAGTCGCGACTTTGTGTCCCACCGCGTACCAAAGAGAAAAGGATAGTGCATGTCTCTCTGTGTTGCTCTCATGTTTCTGTAAGAAAGAAAGAGCGAAGAGAGTAGAGCCAAGAGACGCAGACGACGGGGCAAATGTGGAGCTTAAAATAGAAGAGTGACTTCGGCTTAAGTACGCGCCAGGGGGACAGGCAAATAAAGAGTAACCGAAGAGGATGTCTCCTTTTCGATTTTCTTCCAAGGAAATCATTATTGTGCTTCTTCTGTGATACGTTACTCTAATATGTTTGGTACTATTGCGATTGTGGTCATATAAGAAGACAAAAGACAGAGAGATAGTATATTTATATGTACAGAAAGTTTTTTATTTACATCCTGTGTAAAAATAGTGAATGAAGACTAATATTGAAAAGACGACAATTATCGTATCAGAAATTTCAGTAGTGAGTGTTCTGTGATAATGTAGTGCGAATCGAAAAATGAAAAAAAGCGAAGTGTGATTCTCCATTCATTTTTGTCAGCCTGACATTTTTTGATTTGAATAAAAACGGATCATCGTAACCGATAAATTGGAGGCGTCTGCATCTCAGTTTCTCCTATAATGGATCGTGACTCGCGTTCGTATTCCTGTGGAGGCTGCGAGAGGACCGAGGTCCGAGCTATGCCGATGGAGTAACAAGTGAGCGGCGAAGCGGCGTTGCCATGACGACAGGTGAACCATGAGCTATACTCCTCTCTCCTATCTCTCTTTCTCTTTCTTTCGCTCTGTTTTTCTCGCTTCTTATCCAGTCTTTCCTTTCCTTCGATCTTTCTTTTTCTTACCTCGTCTCTCTCTCCTTTTCTTTTCTATACTTGCCCGCGCGCGTGTATGAATCCTTTCCTCTCTTAAAATCTCCTATTTGCTCTCTTTCTTCTTGTCTCTATCTCCATCTCTGTCTCCGTTCGTGTTCCACCTCCCTTGTAACTTCCCGTTTGCCGACCCTCTTAGAATCTATCCCTCTCTTTTTATCCCTCCTCTCTTCCTATCTTTCTTTCTTTCGTTCTTTGGCTGATTCTCGCAATTGTCCCTCTTCTCGTCTCTGACCCCGTATACTTGCGTGATACGGCGCGACAACAGTGCCGTCTGTCTTCTTTCTTCTCAGCATAAACCGCATTTATCTACCTGTCTCCGCTTCATGGCCTTTCTTCCCCTCTTGATTCTCTATCCTCTTTTCATATTCAAACTCAGTTTCTTTCTTTTTTCTCAACGGTCTTCCCTCGTATTTCCCACTCCTCGAAAGAACCGTGTAATCTCTCGCGCTCTCTCACACTCGCTTACGCTTGGTGAGCACTCGGTGAACGTCGTTGTAGCATGCCTAACGCGTAGGCCGCGCGATATTCCAAGTACGCTTGGCTATTTTCATGCTACGCCAGAAAGATATCTAGCGACGCGCCACGCTTGTAGGTGACACGACACCGACGACTGATCGTCGACTGCTGTATAAAATCGAAATCGGACAATTAGACTAACCTAGGAATTAATGAAATTCTTTATTTGTTTAATTAAATAATTTACGAGGAAAGGATATTAATTTTATTATATTATAATATATAATATATATAATATAATAATATATTATAATATATTATATATTATATAATATATTATAATATATAATTTTATTATATTAATTTATTTACTCATTATTTTTTCCTGTTTTAATTATTTAATTTAGTTATTTTTTTAATTATTATTTCAATATTTTTTTAACTATATTGCATCTGTAATATTATTATATTTTAAATCATTAGTTAAAAATAAAGAATATTAAGTCATATCGTTCATCATACTATTTCAATGAATTACATAAAAATATATATTTTTTTTATATATGTACAAGTATATATGAATAATTTATTCGCTGCAAATATTAAATAATATTTTTTTTTATTGTGTATTTATCAATATTTTGTATATAAAAATCTAAATATTATTTTTTAAATATAAATATATAAAAACTTTTCATTATTATTTTAACATTGACATTTTCATTTTTATCTTTCTAGAACATTTTTCTTGACATTTTAGTTATATTAAGATTCATATATAAAATATTTGGAATAAATCGATTATATTTAATATAAATATAAATATATATATATACATATACATATTTAGTACACACAATAATTTATTAAGTTTTTAATTATTACAACTATATGCATTTATAAAATATACATATGTGTACATACATGCATACATATTTTAGTTAACAAAAAAATAAAATATTTTAAAATTTACACAAACAAAATAATAAAATATTTTAAAATTTATTGGAATGAGAATATTATTTTATTATATTTATACTTATATTTATCCTTCTTAAATAGTATATATATATAAATTAGAATTACTTATTTTTAACATCATAAATTAAACAAATATTAAACAAGTCATTGATTTTAATAAAAATACACTTTTTTATTTAAATAAAATTATAATATATTAATATTAAAAATAAAGAAAAAGATAATTAAACGAAAGCATCAATTTTTTTTTAATAATATTAATAAAATCGATGGATGGATTTTTAAATCGATTTTATCAGACGAATTTTTGCATAATTTTTTTAATATAAATTTGAAGTTTCATACACAAAATCATTCCTTTCAACTTTTAAATATCATTACTTATTATCTTCTGTTAAATTTTTTCCACAAATTCTTTATATTAATCTTATTAAATACCTAATTAATATATTTTCAAAATTCAAATAGTTTTTTATAATTCTAATTATATATATGAACAATTGCTTTATTATATTGAAAAATAAAAATTATTTTCTAGTTATTTAAATAGTGAATTTATTCTTCGATTAATATTTTGACACTTTTTTCTTTGTTTACATTACAATGATATATTAAAAGTACTCTTCTTCTATTTTTTATACTACTTTTTTAAGTATATATTTACATTATATTATTCTATATATTATATTATATTATTCTATATTATATATAATAGGAATTAAATGAATATTTTATAATTAATTTCATCAATGTATATAAATATTTATATAAATATTATATTATTTTTTAAATAAATATATTATAAAAAATATCATATATTATAAATAAGTGTTTTGTACGAATTATCTTGAGTTGCTTAATCTGATTAAACATATTGTTGCACAAAATTGTAAGTTTACATATTTAAAATTATTTATAATTACATATTTATAATTATTTTAACTGATAAATAATTATTGAAAGTAAAAAATTAAATATTTATTATCTAATATAATGTTGTTTATAGTCTTATATTATAATAGGATTCTCTTTACAATATAAAAAATAAACATAAAATAAATATACAAAAATATTTCAGATTCATTAAATTTGAAGGAATATTATTTTTAAATATTTATTTTTTTTATTATAGAAATAATTCTATTATTATTTAAAACTGTAAATAAAAATATATTACGTAATTTATAATAAATATTTGCAAAGTTCTATTTTTACTAATTATTCATTGAATAAAATAATTATAAAAGTGAGTTTATAATTTTTGATAGTATATATTATATTATATTTTTTTTATTTTTTTTTATTTATATTTTTTTTAACTTTAATGGAAATAACTACACGTTAAAGTATTTTTAAGGAAAATGTTTGCTCAATCAGAATAGTAAAAATATCAGAGTTATATATAACTGAAAATTTTTTATATTTTCAGTTAATGCTATATATTGAAATAATTAATTGAATTCTTTTGATATTGAACATGAGAATAACATATTTTATATTAAGCATGAGAATAGATCGAAAGTATTTAATGAAAACTTAATTTTGCTGGAACATGTCCCATTCAAACAAATAAACAAAGAGACACGTGCCAATATTTAAAACTGATAACATAAAATTTTTTTATATTTCTAAAATAAAAGAAATCACATTAAAAAGTTAAAAAAATGAATATATATACACAATATAAATTATGAAATGAAATTATTTTTATTTTATTATTTTATTTTATAATATCATTTATATTTTCATTGTTAAAATAACATTCTGTGAATGCAAACAATCGTATTTATTTTTTAGATATATTTGATTTTAAATATTTAAAATATTCATTTATTCATTCAAATATTTAAATCATGAAAAATATGTGATGAAATACTGGGAAATACAATTTGTTACATTCTACGTTTGAATATTTTACAATTTTTGTCATTTATTTGTATATATATATTTGACTGACAGTAACGTCAATCATATGTAATTTATAATTTAAATCATTGCACTGAAATGTGTCATATATTTCATAATAATATACTTTTGATATAAATAATGTAATATATATTATTTAAATAATGATAATTTTTTTTTGCTAAAATTTTATGAAAATTATTTAATTTTTAGTTATAAAATTATATTATATTAAAAACAAAATTATACAATATACATAAATATAAATTTTTCAATTTATATAATATTATAAATAACAATATCAAAAATTATTATTTATATATATTCAAAATTATAAATAATAATAAAATTATAATAATATCCAAAATATTGTTTTCAATTCTCAATATAAGATTATATTGTTAAATCACGAGAAAAGTTTTCTCTCAACATCTCAATATTGAAGACGCAAATAACACATATACATATAATATATATATATCGCAGATTTTCTAAGAAGAAATTCCATTGATATTTATAGGTTTGAAAATTTTTTCTATGATGAAAGTTCAGTTTTGTATAAATTCGAGATAAAATTAATTTAAAATGAAGAAATATTATTAACTTGATGATATTGTTTTATGCGATTTTAACATATAATGAATAATTAAATTATTATGAACACTTCGAAATTATTTGATTAATAATGAATTTGAATTATAATACATATCTAGTATTTATTATAAAAAGTATTATTTTCAATGATAACAATATAAATATTATGAAATACATAGTAAAATATATTTTACATTTTTTTATTTGCAATTATAACCAAAACTATAATTTAATTTTAATATTTAAAATTTAACATTTGACAATGAAAAATTTTTTCATTCTTTTTACATTTAATCTTGCAAATTGCAATTTATTTTAAAAATTTATTTTAAATTTTAAAATATTAGATTCGTATTTGATTCCAGCAAATTTTGCTATTTAAAGTCGTTATGATATGTTAAAAAACGAAAATATATTTAATAATGAAAAAAAATATCATTTAGAATTTATATGTTTTCAATTTTATTCTTGATTGAAATTCAAATAAATTATAATTTCATAGAATTCGTAATAATTTTATCAATCATTGGTGAAGATATTATTATTTAAGAAATTTATGTATTACACATGCAAAATTTATTAATTTATTAATCTTGATTATAGTCATTCATTATAAAATCAATGAAATTTAAATCAATTATTAATAACTTCAATGGAATTTTTGTGATGTTTTTGATACATCGTGTTTTTAAGAAGTTTAGAAAAAAATTCGAGAATGAAATTGAGAAAATAGTTGCGAAACGTTGGTCTAGATTCAAATCTTATTTCATAGGTACCATATATGAATGATTTGGGAAATCTAGTTTTATCGAAATATTATTCAATATATATACTTATATAATGAAAGTTTAAAATTTATTTATAATTTAAAAGTAAAATTTGAAAAATCAATTCATTTGTTTTTTATTTAGTTATTTTTTTTAC